ACTTATTTGATTTTCTAAACTCCATGGCAAACCCTAGAAACAACCTCCAGTATCTTTCCTTTGCACACTCCAGCAGCAACGTGAGCCAAGTGAGTTACTGCTTTTTTATATATATGTGCTATTATTAATATTATAATTATTAAATAATAATAATACTAATATTGGTTTATTGTTATTATATAAATATATATATACCTAAAAAACTAGTATGCCATCGCTGCCACTCAACTCGACAGTCAAGCTTCAACTCCCAACTGTTCAAGATAAATGTATAAACAAACTTACTTTTAAATATTTGTATATGAAATGTTTTATCAACTAATCAGATACTGCTTAATACGTGATTTTAATATAATTAACTTCTATATATAATATTTAAATAAACTTTTTTTATGATTTAATTTCTATATACAATGTACTCCAGCTAGTTATATATGTATGACTTTAAAGGTAACTATTACAAAAAATAATAAATTTATTGTAAACGATTAAGTGATTTAAAATGAAATACTATATATAATGTATTTTCAACTAATTAATAACATGTTTAATATACTATTATCGATAATTATGGCAAAAATTAAATAACTTTTTTAATGAAAGGTAAATAGACTTTTTATTACCTAATACTGTTATAAAAAAATCGCATTCCTCTCGATTTTATCTATTATAAATCGATATAGAATTAAAGTTTGAACATTAGTTTGTTTAGCTAGTGTTATTAGGAGTGATTCTCATTTCTTGCAAGTAATCCTGTTGTTTATTGGTATTTAGGGTTCTTTTAAATGGATACATGATGGAAGGATACTATTTATTATTATATTATATTTTAATTAATTGTTTGGTAAGTTAATAGGAGTGAGAGCATGCTTTTATTATATTTTATTTAACACTAATTCTTTATCTTGTTATGAAGACTGAGTTAGATTTTGAAAAAATATTTTTCACTTATTTCTGGATACACGTGTCGTCCAATTCTACCTTCTTTTCCTTTTCTCTACTGGAAATGGAAGACAAAAAGTAAAATGAAAAAAATTGAACTGAGATGATTTTATAACTTCTGTAACAATATATTAATTATAGGAAAAGGTTTATATATATTCTAGTAAATTAAGTAAAGTCCAGAAAATAAGGATATTTTAGATTTGAATGAATTAACTACTTATCCCTTTGTAAGTGAAAGTCAAAAGATGCTTAACAACAAAAGATGTTTGATTTGTAATTAGTTCATGAATATGCTGTTTGTACATATATAAAAATAAACGACTTCTTGATGGGTAAGAAGTTTTATTTATTTTTTCCTGTTCTAATATAAAAGGCTAAAACAAGACTTGTGATATATTAATTTGGTATGTACTAAATTGTTGACTGAATCGGATAAATCATATAAACTATTTCATAATATATCAAATATTTCCTGACAGATACTATGGTCACTAAGAAAATATTGATTAGATGTAATTCGTCTTATAGACTGCTTAGATTGCTTTCACCATTAAATTAATGAGTTGTATAGTGTGGAACCTAACACCAACTTATTAAAATGTTTAATCCGTTACAATTGATAATAAAATATTTAGTTATTATAAGGAATACTAGTATTTTAAAAACTAAATTTCAAAATGTATTTTATTGAAAGATCTGTAGTAAAATATGTAGTAAAATAATATTTTTACATTATTTATCTTAAATCTCTTATCAATTATAACCTCTGAATAATTCAAATTATAAAGATTAAAAGTACATACAAATCAAACTCAGAGATAATTAACTACATTGTTTATTTAAAGTCTAAGCTTAAACTAAAGACTAAAGAGATTATTATTTTGAGATTGTAGAGAACTATTCATTAAAAATTATTTTTAAAATAATTAAAAAATGATGTATATTTAAGTCTCTAATAGTTTTTTTTTTTTTTTAAATTTGTAATGGAGTTTAAAAAAAGTACAGTTTTCTTATAAAGTTTTTTCTTTTAGTTCAGATAAGCAGAACACTCTGGGTTTACTCTCATCCATGGCTATCTCCATCAACTCGTTTACTCTCTCTTCCGCTTTACCTGTAATTTCTTATTTCTCTTCCCGCTGATAGTATAATTCAGTTTATCTTCTGAAATTCGATTTTAAGATACATTTTGTTGTTTGCAGAAGATGGAGTTAAGAGGTGGAAATTCGGGACTCTGGATTAGCTCGCAGGTAAAAGAAATTCTCAAAGTTTCAATTTTTGTTTGTGCTCAACTGAACTTGTTTATGGATTCGTTCGTTTTGCAAGATGATGCCTCAAATGAAAAAGGAGGGTCGTGGACGACGAGTGTGGAGACGAAGAAAATTGGTATCTTTGCTCCCGATTTCTCTTTCTTACAATTATTGTTTTCCACTATTGCCTCTTACCTGTTTGTCTAAATTCCTAAACTGAAAGAGGTGAAAATGAAGGGGTTTGCTCGTGTCGTTGTACTTGTTTCCCAGTTTAGAAAATTTTTTCTATATGTAAAGTCCCAGTTGTGGGAGTATTGTTGTGCAAAGTGTTAGTTAGATGCTTGAATTTATTTAGCCTAAAGGGTTTGTTAGGAGTGAGATAAATTTGTATTTTTGGTTCTCTTGGCCACCAACCTCAATTCGAAGAGTATTGCTTTTAAGTGCAACATGATGAGTCGGATCATGGTAAACATTTACTCATGGTTGCTCATTTGCTATAAAATAAGGATTTAAGTTGAACCATTCTGAACTTTTTCTTAGTTAGATGGATGAGAGAGTTGAGGTTATCATAGACTGATTTATTGCATTGTAGGATCTGAAAGTAGACTGCTTGGAAAAGTGAAGTAGAATTAGCAGTCTAGATTTTTATGCATTGCATATGATTGCTTGATGTCAACGCTATGACATTTACACATATTTTACTATTTAGGAACGTAATTGTTTGCAAAGGATAACTTCTTTTGTTCATTTCCTGAGGTAAATATAAGCCAATTTAATTTAATTTAATGTAATTTAATCCATGTCTGTTTCTTTCTTATTTTGCTTTCACTGCACATCTCCCTATATCTGTTATATTAGTCTCAACTCTCAATGCATACTCATCTTCTGATCGATCTTGGTGCACATGAAGCTTCTTCAATGCTTTTTAAGTCTGTCAGAATGGTGAACATTAACACTTGTAATTGATGCGTTTGGAAAAGGTTATTTTGACTTATGATATAAAGTAATTATGCCACTGTTCGGAAAAGCTTATTTGGACTCATCTTTTGATTGAAGTAATTATGTAAGTGTTTGGGATAACTTATGGAAATAGTTAATGATCTGCTCATACTGTTTTGATCTTATTTGAATAGACCCTCCAAAATATCTGATAAATAAAAATAATTTAACTTTATTTTCTCCAATCACATAATATTCTTTATAAGTTTTACTTACCCGGTAAGTGCTTATTCAGTAAGGGCTTAATGTTATTGACACACAGTCTTCTCTAATATCATATGTCACTGTTCTGAATGTTTAAGCAAAAGTTCATTTTGATGCAGATAAAGAAGGATGAGTATATGGAACCCAAAATGGAGCGCGTTCCTTTCCTGGAGGAGCAGGTGAGAAAGATTAGGGAACAGGGAAAGCTGTTGACGTTGGACATAGAGAGGTTAATGTTATCAGAAGACAATCGTTTCGAATTTGTGAACGAGATAGCAGCTGAGGCCAATGAATACGTTGAGAACAACAGGGATGAGTATGGAGGTGAGAAGAAAGCCATTCTTCATGTTTTGAGCAACCGAATGAACGATGCTGGAATTTACAGGCCAGAGGCATATTATGAGCCTGATCATTTTCAGCCTGGACCCCATTATTTGAGGGAAGAATTTACTTGAGCTCCAAAGAAGTGTTGTGCTGCTATCTTAAACTAGGGACAATATTTTACATATTTTCTTCACTTAGCTTAAGCTATTTCCTTCTACACTAGCTACTGTGTCTATGCAAATCAGAGCGACATTCAAACCGAAATAAAATAGCATCACAGGGTATTTTTCTACTCATATCTAAGAGGTTCAAAATGGATTCGAACTAGCATGGGCTGCATCAGGCGAACTGGTATTCTTGAACGAAGAAAAATATTAACTTTATTTTTTACCGGAATTGTTTTACTTTGTGTATTGAACTTCAAATTCTTGTTAAGTAAGTAAAAAGCTCTTTGCGTATACCTTTATATTGTAATATATACATGATGAAACGTGAGTTGTAAATTGAATACATTTACATGAATATTTATTATTATTGAGTTCCATCACTTAGACATTCTTTATCGCAAAAATTTATAATTTATATTAATTTTTTATGATATTTTCACTTTACATAAATCCTTTGTTATTAAGCCGTATCACCACAATTTAAATTTTTTCAATATTAATCATAAATCAACTAGGTGAGAGAAAATATTATTCGACAACCATTATGATTCCTCAATATTATCCTTCTATTAATAAAAATACGCATTTTGGGGGAAAAACTTCTATCCATTAATATATTTTCGCAGAATGAAAAAAGAGAGTAACATAATTAATATTGCAGAAAAAGATAAAAAAAAATTTCTTAACACATTATTAAAAAATATTTAAAAGATCACACCAAAAACACAGTTAAATTTTATATGAAACAAATAAAAATTCATCAAAAGAAAAAAACAAATCTCTAGCAGAAAAAAAAAGAACAAATAATCTTTATAGACCTAACATCACATTAGGAGTTTAATATTTTGTGCCTCATTTATTGATCTCTGTAGTTTGGTGTCGTTCTGAGTGAAATGGTAGCTAGCTTGTTGACTCCAACGCCAGCCACACTCTATCTGATCTTAACCACAACCGCACATCATGTTGAAATAAACAAGAAGGTATTATAGTTTGACTAATAAAAACTCCAGACATTAGTGTTTGTGTTACATGAGTAGGACCAGACCATCACGTTCCACGTTCATGTTTTGCCACGTCAGCTGTGGGTGGGCCAAATTTTAAGGTTTCACGCGTTGAATAAGCTGGTGAAGAATCTAATCCCATCTTAGAATCCAATCCGTTAAAGCAGTTAGAGGCTTCTATTAACTCTCGCTTATCTATATCGCTCTATCCAAAACTCAACACAAAAACACTTTCTTTCTTCTGCTTCCCTTCGCTGTCCGAATCCTCCATCATGGCCCTCTCAACTCCACACATGCAAAGATTCCTCTCGTGCAAGATCCACAGTCGCTCCACCTCTAAGACCACGCAGAGAAACACTTTCAGCACCACCAGCAGGGGCCGCTGCTGCTCTGCCATAGCCATTGATGCTCCATCTTCTTTAACTGAGGTGCCCGGTGTACGATGGGGGTCCATAGCCTTGCAAGGTCTCCGCGAAGAGATGGAGGATGACATCATTGTTCGACCCGATGGCCTTCAGGGCTTCTCTTTCGCCGCTGTCTTCGATGGCCATGGAGGGTTTTCTTCTGTCGAGTTCCTCAGGTCTTTCAGCACATTGATTTTTACTGTGAGGTCTTGTATGTATCATCTATGCATGTTTTGTTGCTTCTTTTGCTTGCTCATTTTTATATCCATTAATGGGGTGTCAAGTGATGATTATCTTGGTTGTATTAGGATGCGGTTACTTGAAAACAATTGAAATGCTTCACAACATAGTTTACTATGATTACTTGCTCAGGATTCTAGTTGATGTTCACAACGAGTGAATTTGGAGTGAGAGTGGCAGTGTGTCTACTGGGGTGGAATGAAATCGAGTGAATTGAAATTAAGTTGAATGAGTTACTATTATATTGTTTGGACTTCTTTTTATGATGATATGTAAAAAAAAGTAAGAGAATGGTTCCAGTTCAGGGGGAAGAAAAGGAGGGGAATTGGATTGAATGGGATAAAATGCATTCACGTTTCAATCAAACTCCGTTCCATTTAAGTTTCACTCTGTTCCATTCGTTCCCTTTCATCAATCCTAACATAGGGAAGTTTATCTGCCCTTGCACTCATCGTTGTTTGCGCTGTACTGATATATGCGTTTCCTATTATTCTGGATGGAGTCTGGTAAATGAATTGTTGTTCTTTAATCTTTGCACAATCTGAATTGTTGATTTGGTGTGCCAAGTGCTAACTACAGGGATGAGCTGTACAAGGAGTGTGTTGAAGCTTTACAAGGTGGATTACTATTAGTGGAGAAAGATTTCAAAGCCATTAAAGGAGCATTGCAGGAGGCATTTCTCAAGGCAGACACGAGATTATTAAAACGGTAAGGCAATGCACTAATCTCCAATATGATTATATATTTGTGATAACTATATTAGAGGTTTTTAGACAGTAGTATTTGATTTTTAAAGGCTTGAAATGAATGGAGAGGAGGATGAATCAGGTGCCACAGCAACTGCCATTTTCATCGGAGATGATGATCTTCTAATTTCACATATCGGTGACTCTTCTGCGGTATGTATTATTTATCCTTATGTGTCCCAAGATGATATATAGAAATGGACTTCTTTATGCACGTTTCTCTGCACATGAAAGAAATGTAATAGAATTATGATGAAAAAAACTATGACTTGGACTATTCTTTTATACATCTTTCATTTAGGGTATATAGGGGATTTGAATGTCTTCAAAATTACTTGACTTGTACTTAAGCTTGTTATATTCTTGTAGGTTCTATGCAGATCTGGAAAAGCAGAAGTTCTGACTAGTCCTCACCGTCCATATGGGAGCAACAAAACTTCTCTTGATGAAATTAGAAGAATAAGAGAAGCAGGTGGATGGGTGTGTTTTCCTTGTTCCTTCATCTTTTACATACCTTGACCATCATCCCAAGTCAATATGACAATATTCTATACAATATAAACCAAAGTTCTGATTTGAAAATTTTGACAACTTAGGATGTGAACTAAGTAGTGTTTTGTGGGGCATATTACCATTTTTTTTTCCTAGTTTAATTATTTATGCTGGGTGGTTTTATAGTTGGAAACCAGATGTAGTAGTCTCTTCCATCTATAGCATGCCATGTGATAAGAAATTGTCACTTTCGAATATCGTTGATGTTTTTAAGTGTTCATTTTCAGGCTCAATTGTAGTTCAGATTTTCAAACTATGCTTTTATTTAACAAACTGTTTTCAATTTCTTTTTCTTAAGTTTTTGAAGTTTTTTCAGCAGAATGGGGGCAGCCTCGTGCATTTGATCACCATTCTTTATGAATGAACGCCCATTACATGGCTAATGATAACACAGATATATGTTGTCTATAGATTAGCAACGGTAGAATTTGTGGAGACATTGCTGTATCTCGTGCATTTGGGGACATGCGATTCAAAACGAAGAAGAATGAGTACGGTCCTTAATCTCTTCACTATTATGCATTTTGAGCTACCATAGCTAAAGTGTGACCTAAAGGATTTTTCTACCTTTTTGCGTGTGAAAAGGATGCTGCAAAAAGGAGTTCAGGAAGGAAAATGGTCAGCAAAGTTCATCTCTCGGTAGGTAAACTTATGTGGCTTAAAGTTCCTTACTTTTTCTCCAATGTGGTTTGTGTTACATTAGCATTCAATAAAAAGAATGGAGATAAGTTGTTTGCCTTGATTCATATGCTTTGGTAGGCTACCTTAGGCCTAATTTCACATTTTAAGATAATATCAAAGTCTAGTAAGATTTGTTGAATCTGTTATGCTATCACAAGTATTTACCGTCATCAAAGTAAAAGGTGTATTGAATATTCCATTTTATCTAGAAATATAACTAAATTAGAGTTTATAAAAAGGAGCAAATTTTACTTCAAGTTGATTTTGTGGAATTAAAATAAGTTTAAACCTGCATTCCAAGAACTACAAAGAAAATTGGTGGTCCAGATTGTTACTGAAATACATAATCAACATCTGAATAAAGCTCCTATTTTTGTTGGCTCTACCCTGATTCTGCAAAAATACAATGAGGACATGATATTTTTAGACTGTGTTGCACTGTCTCGTTCAAATTTACCTTTATCTAATTTTATAACAAAACTATAAATTTTAACGTAAGAATGCCTTCACGACACAGTGTACAGCTCAACAATGACTTGGTTGTAGCGTACCCTGATATTTATCAGGTAGCTCTTGGCTCAGATGCAGAATTTGTAGTATTAGCAACCGATGGCTTATGGGATTACATGAGCAGGTCTATTACATGATTCCTTGAATCAGTTGTGCCACCT